GACAGGCTAGTTTTTTTAGACCTTAAACTCTCCTTTGACGGCTGCAGCATCACTACAAACAACCATGTCAAACCCACCAGTGGTAATTCATATGTACACTTTCAGAGTTGCCATCACCCCAGATGGCTCAAAAATATCCCCAACAGCCAGTTCTGCAGACTGAAATGCAACTGTACTAAGACCACTGACTTCACCACACAGAGCCAACTTCTTGCTAAGAAATTAAAAGAAAAAGCATACCCGGACAAACTCATTCGCGACGCCTATTCCACTTACCTAAAGTAGTATCTCTCTGACAAGAAATGGCCTTAGCCCAAAACCAATGTTAGGTTCATCACCACGTATAACAACAGTCACAACTCTATACAGCGCATCATTCGGAAAAATTGGCACATCCTAAAAGAAGACCCCAAATTGGGTCGATTCATCCCAGCCAAACCATCAGTTACTTTTAGGAAGGCCCGTAACCTCAAAAACAGAATAGCCCCAGTAAGATCCATAAGGACGTACCCAACAATACACCCAACCAAAAATTTTATAACAGAGTGGGCACGTATCAATGCAGAAAACCCTGCTGCCTCACATGCCAGTTTATTACCCATGGACAAACTGAATTTACTGACCACCTTAACAACATCTGCCCCATCAGACAATTTATTACGTGCTCACACGACCACGTAGTCTATGGCCTCAAATGTCCATGCAACATGTTATACATTGGCCGCACCATCCGCCCCTTAAGACAGAGGATAGGGGAGCACAGACGATTCATTGCCGACAAGGCCTGTGACCACAGTGTCCCGAGACACTTTGCCAAAAAACATGGTAAACGAATCCAAGATCTACACATTTTTGCCATCGAACAAATCCCGGACCATTACTCCCCCTCAGAACGCTTCCAGAGGCTCTGCAGACAAGAAACCTTCTGGATCTATCGCCTAAACACCCTTGAGACTCCTTCAGCCTCCGATCCTGGACCACTCGATCCTCCTGTACAAGTTTTGCGCCCTGTTGTGAGTCTCCTATTCAAGTGTGTAACTGTTTAACTTTTTCATTACATTGCACTACAAAGGTGACCTGAGTTAACACATGGAGGGGCACTCTAAGTATTCTAATGATTTAGATTTAAATATGCATTACCTTATTTCTGGTAAAACAAAATGTTGTTATTGCAGTGATGTATCAATGCCTTCTTTCTTTTTTGGCCTCTTCGCTATAACCAAAGGGTTATCCTGCCTGGGGAAGAGGGAGTGGGGGGTAGGGGAGTACACAGTAAAAGAAGGACCTCTAGGCTTGATAATAAACTCTGCTTCATGCACCCATTGTGGCCAGAAATTGGGCCATCAGATGCCAATTGGTCACTTGAACTCTAGAGAAGCTAAAGGAATTCAAAGTACAACTGAATGTTCACTAACATTTATACACACATACATAAATACTGCTATGTCTATTCTTTGAAGGGAGTGGCATTTGGAAAAACCTAGTGGTATGAATAAGTTGCAGTATAGCGCAGCATTAAGAGTAGTGTGTTGTGGAGTATGTAAAGTACTGCATGCGTTCAGAATGGAGTAGTCCAGAGTATGTCACATCCAGCTATGTTTGCAGAGTTGGAGCATTTTGGAGTATGTCACAGCACTGCATATGGAGAAGGCAATGTTGCACAGCACAATCTGTATAGTGGTGTGGTACTGAATATGTCTGTTACAGCACAGAATATGAAGTTGGGCAATCTAGAGTAGGTCACCTACAAGAACAGTGTACTGAGTGGAAGAACTGAAGGTATTTCATGTACAGCACAGTACCCCAAGTACATATAGCAAAGCAGTATCATAGGAAATATGGAGCTCTTTTCCTCCAGCACACAATACAGGAAACTCTGTCACGTGAGTTAGTGTAAAGAGATACTGTTCACTATCTGTTTCACTTTTTTTCTAATTATAGCCATGGCATGTACTTGTCCCAGCAGTCTCAGAAAAAATGGAAATATGATGGGTTATATTTACTGAAGAGAATGCCTATTTCCTGCACTACTGCCAGCAGTCCTCTGGTTCTGAGAACATCCTGTGCTGTGAATAATTTACCAACAGGAGACCGGTTGCTCATTCAGCTCAACACAGAGCAAGTCTCCCTCCACATAGAATATTTTAGTGTAGCCTTGAACAGGTTGTGTAAAGCAAACATGGTTGAAAATGCAGCCCAGGAAATGCTGCTGGAACTAGGATTTATCTTTAGAAAGGTAACCCGTTATACTGAAATATTTGCATGTTGCAAAGACAAATAAAAACACAAGGCTTACTGAAAGGGCAGTTATACTGTAAGGGGTGATATTTTGGCAGAGCAAGCCTATCGGAATCACTGTATATTACCTTTCAAAAATAATCACGTGACACAATGCCAGCTATCACTAGAACCATCTGCTGTGGGAGCAGGAGCAGGAAAGATATGTATTTCAGGATTTTTATTACTCTTTCCTCATTTCCCACCCACTAAGATTTTTTTTTAGTTTTGAACACTGTGGAGAAGGTTTAGTATTGGTCTATGTCCCTTTTGGGGCATAAACAGGAAGTGATAGGAGTGTACCCGACTGGCAAGCAGACAGCAATTAAAACACAATGTGCTGTATTAAGGCAGGCTTTACATGGAAAGTATAACTATCGAATCAAAGCATGATTTGGGCAGAAAGGTGACCATGGGTTTTTGTGACCAATTCCTCTCTAATAGTGATAAATCATCATATGGAAGAGACAGTCACCAACCTGGTAAGCCCTGTGGGCAGCAAAAGGTTAAAGCAGTGAGGAAATTGTCTTTTGAGAGCCAATGTGGATGGAAAATGTGGGTTTTATATAAAAAAATGAGAAGCCAGGTCTCACTGCTACTGCCATGAAGGCTAGGACTTAGGCATCAGTAATAGAAGTTGGCATAAGCTCCTTGAAGGGTAGGTCAGCTAGTCAAGTGATTCCTTAGTTCTTTAAGCTTGCTTTTTTCCCCCAGAAAAGCCAAGGAAATTAGAAAGATTTAAAGCATCTTTAAAGCATCTAATTGTGTACTTACCTCAATGTGTTCCATAGATCCAGTTCAAGTATCTGTCAAGGTAATTTTAGTTTTCTGCCAATAATGGGCTGCCCTGACTTTGAAAACTGGTACACCTGTGCTCAGATACTGGATAGCTATGATGGAAAATTCTGTTGGATATTGGACATGCCTTTACTTCTTATAAGATTCTTTCTATTGTATCTTGTCCAATATAGGTCTTTAGCGGTCACTATATATGTTCCTATCTGTGCATTGCAAAATCCACTGCACCTGAGATAGGGAAGTGAACATTTGCCTGCTCTGCCTATATATGACCAGCTTTAAACATAGCAAAGTGTAAAATCAGATTACTTTATTGTCTAATTACTTGGGTGGTTTTATTGAACAAAGTCTGTTTAAAATGAGATTGGTATTCACCTTATTAACATATTTTAAACCTTGTTCATATTGGGCAAATGTAAAATATTTTAATATCCATAGTCACATTTACCAGACTCGCAGTATACTGGCCCTATTACTTTAAACAAAAATATTGTACAATATTGACTCAAATATTGTAGCTTAGTGAACCTGAATTTGCATCTTATAATGTCAGGAAAAATGTGGTTGGGTTTGCATTGCATTCCTGATGACTGCACGGGTTCACAAAGTTACCATAAAACATATCTGATTTGTAAAAATTTATCTTACAAGCATAACATGTGCATCAAGCAATTTTTAAGGATCTGTAATTATAGTGCACAGCAAATGAGGATTCACTATTGTCTTTAACAATACCCATTACCTTACTTGAATATTAACATACATTGATCTTTTCTTTACATTGCAGAAAACTGTGAATTGTTTTGCCATTTTTTTAAATAAATAGTAGTAAAAACAATTGTAAAATATTAAATTGAGTATAATACTTCAAAGGTGACTTTTGCTACAAATATGCAGCTCAAGATATCACAATCTATTTTGTATAATCCACTACAAATTTTTATCTATAAGGCCAAATATAAGGCCTTATATTTTATGTAAGAAAATAATATAATACAATCTAAATGTAAACAATTAAAAAAAATTTAAAGATAAATAGAATCACCTTAAACAGTCTGGTTTAGAAAATTAAACATAATATTAAAGCTACAAATGTTTTTTTGGTCTTAAGATATAAATATTGTGTGCATGTGAAGTTCTGAAAATAGGTCTGAGAGAGGAAAAAACAACAATGAATGATATTAAATTAATCTAAGCTCTCCTCTATCTTATTTCATGGTAAACCACTGTGATTTCACACTGAAATAATTATCATTAGTCCAAGACACACATACACGAATAAAACTATACTTTCCGGGTATGTGATCTCACCTTAGTGATCTCTTATTGTTCAGTATAAACACCCATTGTAAGAGAAACTACTTCAGTTAATTATGAGAACAATATCAATTTGCATTTTGTTTAATGATCCCAGAATACATTAAAACATGCTGCAAAGATATATTTGCATCACTCAAAGATACAGAAGCATTTTAGATTGTGATTAAAAACTGTATTACTATTTAAAACATACTGCAATAAAATGCAAGGCTTAAAAACTATCCAAAGGGGTTCAAATATTTTAATGCAGATATTATGATATTTTTTGTCTGAAATTTGTCTGAAATGTATTTTTTTATTATAATGTTAAATAAATGTACATAAAATGGTTTCAGATTTACATAATATAAACCTTCCATTTTACCATGACAATTGTTTATCCTTGTTAACACCCATGTCACTAACCATCATTTTTATATTAGCAATTTAACAGTCTCCAAATAATAAACATTTGGTAATTATTAGGATAGCTATTAATATGGAAGCAGGCTACTTTAAAAATACATCTAGTATTTTACTAAATCTATAATATTTAAAACGTAAAAAATACAATATATAACATAAGCACATTTATAAAAATCAGAGGTATCAAGCTATATATTTACCTTGACAAGCCTAATGAGGGTTTTCAGCTGATAAATATGAAGCTGTAGATCCATACGGTCAGTCAACCAGGTACAAACAACATTCATTGAACTGGTGTACCATTGCTGAAAAACAGATAAAAATTCTCCAGACATACAGTAAGAATAGTAACAAGAGCTTGATATTAAAAGCCAAAAAGATGACCGCACATACATAATTAAGTCAACTTACCTTATTTAGAAATTAATAAAACTAAAACATATTGTCTACGGTAAGGCGACCAGTCTTTAGTACAACATAAAAATATATATGTTGAGGATTATAGGCTACATGTTTTCTTATTTTGGTGTGCATGGTAAAACCTGTGATAGAATACGTGTGGTTTGCATATCTGATGTGTTATCAATTTGCTTTAAATTACAAGAATATTAACAGAACACATACACATACAAATGAGCTTTGATCAAGCTGTCGAAATATTTTTTTCCCTCTAAGAGGGTTAATTTTGCTTCTTGCCTGTGAAAAATGCTTGAAGCTGTGTCATTGCAGACTGCCACCCCTGCAGAGCAAGATGTCTCCAGAGCAATACACTTCTAAAATACTGCTTACAGATTCATATTTTCTTTCCACTTAGCAACATTCACAACAGCCGTATAATTCATCATTATGCATACGTTCATATCTATTACACATTGATAATATGCCTCCATTATTTTGGCTGAGATAAAAACCCTACCCTTGCTGATAAATACACTGAAGAAAAATCCCAAGTGAATACACAAACAATGATTTCGTCTGCATTGTGAAAAATATTTAGCTAAATGTTGTAGATTTAATACACAGCTACATGACAAACTAGATTTACAGCTTATGAGTTAAATTTTTTTTGTAACATAACTAACAAGTTACAGCTTTATTCCTTAACATACCCATGAGTTATTAGTTTGCCTGATGAAGGCATTCTTGGACAGATTGGATGGCGATCCCATGTTTATGCATAGAAACCAGCCTGCCGAGTGGTCAATGTCAATGTGAAATGGCTAATGGACAGGCTAGAAAGCCGTGGACAGCTGCCCAGGACCAGCAATGTCCTCTATGCCTTACCTACCTTCCTCAATTCCACTGTTGCTAGCGGTCAAAAACTTAGTGGAAATACATTTGTCCATAAAGAAAAATAAATGATTGAAAACAATTCCCCCCCTACCCCGTATTTGAGTATCAGCCAATAACAGTGTTTTGGCTAAACATCATGGATATATGACATATATTACTGTTTTAGTGATGTGTCTGTGATTTGAGCTGTGTGGGGTAGTTGTAACATAAAAGAATGCATTTTCAGTTGATACCCCTACCCCATTCACATTGACGTGATTGTCATGGAAAGCTAAGTACACAAGTTAATGGATTATTTTGCATCAGGCTGAAGATTGTCTAACCTGAGAGTGGAGAGATCATTCTTCTGAGCCTTTGAGAGCCTATGGGCATATTTAAGCTAGACATGACCAATGAATGTTCTTTTAAATAGAGATCCTTAGATGATACGTGTTTCATGAGATATAACTACAGTTCTTGAGGGGGGTTCTCTGACTTTCTGGTTGAAATTGCCAGGGCTTTTAAAGTGTCTCCTTAAGTGCCAAGTGACTAATTAGACAAATAGAGATGTAAACTCGGACACTAAAATGTCATATAATTTTTTAAATGCTAATGTAATTTCAAAAGTCTTTTCAATGTCTTCAAATCTGATGTTTTCATCAAAATAATGGCTGGAATTCCAGCCATGAAAGTCCATGTTCAGGCACTTCCTGTTATGCGGTGACAATGCCTTCTCCCTCTCTCCCAGCTGCCCGTGTGTGTTGTCACCCTGTGGCATAAATTTCCCAGGAAGACTATAAGCATACTATACTGATGGTCACTGATAGAAAAAAACCACTAGCGCCAACTTTACACCATCCTTGCGGGAATAGAGGAACGACTCCAAATAAATGAGCCAGCTCCTTACAGTCAGGGAAACTGGGTATCTCGTAGAAGAGAAGCACAAGGAGCGCCATCCTTATACTGATGGTCACTGGACAGGCATGTTCACCACCAGGATGCCCACCCTGTTCAATGACATTCAGCTGTTGGAGCAAGTGAATGTTGACAGGACGTGGCTGCAAATAAGTTCCCAGTGATCAGCAGTAATGACATGCAACAAAGGGTAAAAAAAGGGAAAAAACCCCCACACTTCTACAGTTTGGGATGCCTAGTGCATTAGCAAGCAAAATATTATCCATTTAGGGTGTACAGCTACTTTAAGATGCAAAGTATTCTGTACCTTATGGAAAAGGTCATGTTTAAGGTTCTGAAAATGATTTTTCAATAAATATGTATGATCATCACAGGCAAATGCATGTCTATCATCTAAGCTGACATCCTCATTGGGAAGACAATAGAGATTGGTCAGGAAAATCAGTTCCGAAACAGCAGATTTTGGATTCATCAGCCAAGCGCTGACTGCAGGAGATTCTAAGTCCTCAGAAAGAAAACAGCTTCATAATGAAGTTATTTTTGATTGTATACAATGTACTAGTAACAGTGAGGCTTTGTCACTGTTGCAAGAGTCATGAATCTCTACAGTGGAGGCAGGACCCATGGAGATAAAATCTCACTGTTTCAGCTCATGATCGTCCACCAATAACTAGAATATTGGTTTTGGCAGAGCTAACACTCTACGTTTAGCATGTTTGAGAGAAGCAGAATAAATAGTCTGTAAGGTTTCTTTGAGATCAGTTCACTTAAGTCGATGACAGGATCTTTCTATCAAACTGAAGTGTCCTCCTTCAGGGCTGAGTTAGTAAGGTGTAAGGGAGGGAATGAGGCATTACCACATTAAGTTTTTCTTAAGTAGTAACTATGAAAAGGGTCATAATATAATCTGACATTTCTTGTAGAGTAGAGAAGTATGTAGCCATTAGCCAAAGTTCATCTTCTGTCAATGCTTCCAGACTGGAGCAGGTGTTTAACTACAAGCATAAATCCTCCATTTAGATCTTTGGTAATTGCCTCTGGCGTCCATTAACAAATTATGTTGATCGCAGTAAGACTGTGATGATATACATTTTATTCTGTCTTAGCATTCCTATTATGCACTTCTCCCCACCTCTCACTTTGGCCACATCATAACATGGTGTGAAACTTCTTCAATTCTGACATTTGAAATAGATATAAAACTGCGTGCATGTTATAAAGACACTACTTGAAGTCGGTGTCTTGATCTCAGCTCAACATACAAATTTATGTCTATTCTATTTCACATTTAAGAAAAAGCCAAACCAGGGTCCAATGTATGTAAAGCCGCACTCAACAGCCAGGACTTCAAGGTTATTACCGGTCATGGCCGTGGCATGCCTCTGTTGCCCGTCGACCGGCTTTTTGGATGCGACTGATGAGTTTGGGCATATGAATGTGAACGGTGTCCTTTTCACAAACCTAACCAAACCAGGGTATTCAAAGTGACAAGGCTAAATTGAATTCAGGCCTACAGTTCTTAAAACTTTTGTAGAATTGCCAACAACAATCACAAAAACAAA